AATTAAAGAGATTATATTCCATGTTTTAATATAAGTTTTTCATCTGTGAAAACTTTCAGTGTCAGATAGTGGAGGCTCAGAGTTAGATCGGACAATACGCGTTAGCGTTAATTGCACTTGAACTGGCATGAAGTATGTCGGAATAACACAAAGCTTCGAATCAGAGGTTAGCGTTAAAGTGTTACGTGTAAAGTGAAGATGTTCTCTACAACAAATTAATAATATCATACTAATTGCTGTTATTTATTTCGTACGATGTAATGAGTTTTAAGTAACAACATTGTTTTTGAATCAATTTTTTTGTAGCTACAATTTATTGCACGACATTATTAAATGGATGTACAGATTTAATTTTAAAGCGCTACACAAAGTTTTATGCCGCATTCTCCAACACGAAAAAAAACCTTAAGAAAAATTATCGTAAAACAATTTGAATTATCATTACTAATGAAACTGTAATATAGTTTTTATAAAATGTAATTTAGTTTAGTATTGTATCTAAATTACTGCAGGCAATCCCAGTAATCTCCAATACGGTAACCCTGCAAGATTGTTGCCATTCCCTTCAACACGTACCTCGCATACCTACGGCTTCACCCCGACAACAAGGTATTCAAGTAATGTACGCCCTTCACCTTATATAATTAAAGGTGAATTTCGTGTGCATTACAGAACATGCGTGTAATTTTATTATTATAGTTATACGCAGCTGTGAACTATATGTGTATTGCCGGTTGAATCGTAATCTATGCAAATAAGGTAAATGGGCTGAAACTAACTTCTATAGATGCCCTAAAATTGGAGGTAAATACAGAAGTATGAGCCCGAGGAAAATTTACGAAAAGGATTATTTCCCATAATAAAATAAACAAATGTATACCATTTTAATTAATTAATTAAATATATTCCTCACAGTCAACAATTTACAGAATTATATGTGGATATATTTTAAAGCAGATTTGCTCTGAACTTTACGTTTGAAGCGGTCGTTTTAAATGAGTCTCCGAGGAGTTTAGACGTTCTGTAAAATCGAAAAGCAACTCGTTATTAAGCCTCAGGATAAAGTAAAACACTGCGCTTTGCCGGTTTTATTTACGCCTTAACTGTTTCAGAATGTACTTTAAACATTTATTTATCCAAAAACAAACTACAATAGGCATTATGACTGTAAAAAACGATTGAAGTGCTGCTTTTACTTTATTTACAGCCTTTAATTTTTTTGAGTTTCACTTATTTTAGATTGCAACTAAAGCTTTGTAGGAACCGAGGATAAAAGTCTTTATAAACATAGACTCAAGATTCACCCTTTACAATATAGAAAAACATTGGCAGATTTGCAGTAACGTACACGCAAACGTTTATGTTAGTTGAAGATTGTAGTTGCCCCAGCGAGAGTTAGGCCCAGTGGTGATTTAGTTAATAATAAAACAGGGAAGCCGGGATGCCGAAGGTTTACGGCAACCACAATTTACACAGACCGCTTATCTCTACGAAATTTGATACATGAGCCCATTTGAATAATTTAATTTGATATTTGTAATGGTTATTTCTAGAAAATATAGACATAAACATATACAATAGGGATTATGACTTTAATACAAGACAGTATTGTTCTAATATTTAAGATAGAGATATTTAAATAATATCTGAACAGGTCAATTGGGCTTGACTCCGGAAATACCCACTTTTAGGGCATAGGTCATTTTGTAAGTAACCGTATGTTTCACCACCTCACTATACGTACCCACTGAAGGGCTGGGAGCTTACCCTGATTCACCATTTATTCATTTAAAAAATGTGCCAACATAATATAACGATGTTTTTCAGATTACGCTCATAGTATGACAAATATGTACTTTGTCGAACCAAATCCAAATCAAAGTAAGTCTTGAATTATTTATAAAGCACATCCTTTTGATGTTCTAGTGATACGGGAAAAGAAAGTCTCAATGTAATCTTTTTTCTTTCCTAATTTTTTTTTATCTATTATTTTAGTATTTTTGTTGAAAATATAAATTAAAATAGTTCACATTTTTTGCTCTACACTTGTAAGTATTTTAAATATACAATACTAAATATAAAATATTACAAAATAAATAGTTTATTGTTGGAGTTACTTTTTGATCACGTTGTCTTAAAAAAATCCTAATTTCGAATAATGGAGTGCCGAATATTAGAATTATTAATATAAACCGATTCTCTCTGGGCTTATTCTATAATCTCATTTAATTATGAGCTTATTCTAATTATCGTTTTTGCGAGACTAACGTACAGCGATTGATTTTTATATAAACAGATAATTTTCACCTAAATTTCAACAATGATTACTAATTTCCATAGTGAAAGTTAATTTTTTTTTAAATAAATTGGCATAGATTACAGCGACCGCTATTAACATTGTAGTATTGGAATCTGGGAATCTTGGCTCTCAGCTGTACTTCAAAACGCAATTTAAAGTTTAATAGTTTAACGCTTCGGCTTTAATTAAGTTACCATTTTCCCACATATACTTCGCACTTCAAATATAGTTTGGTTAATTTGTATAAATGAATTATTATTTTTAAATTATTCATACACATATAAAGATTCGGACTCTCAACGAAGATTGAGATTGTATAGGAAACTAGCTGTCCGCGACAAACTCCGCGCGGTATAAAATAAACTTAAAACATATGTGTCAAATTTCAGCGAGTAGCATACAGCCGATCTCGAGATACTTTAAAAAAACATCCATACATCCATCCATCCATCCATCCAAACTTTTGCATTTATAATATAAGATATAATTATGAATATATTTATGTAGTAAGAATAAATATAATTTTTAAGAAGTCTTCTTGTACTTGAGTGATTTTTGTAAAATACACGCACAAATGCACGTTTAAAGAGTCGTAAAAATTACATAAATATATATTTGGTGATAATAAAATTACAAATTATGATTATAATATGAAAAATAGTAAAATACAATTTTTTTTCAACACAATTTAAACGGTTATTTTGTTTTTATTTTATAATTAAAATAACATAAAAAAACTAAATGCAATATAACCATAAAACTGCGGTTCAAAAGTAATTATTTTTTCATTTACGATATAGATTACTGTCACTAACTAACGCTTGCCGCGAAGCTTTAATACCCGCTGGTAAAGATCAACGCCTCCTCTTTCATGCATATTTTATTACATAAGTGTATTATTTTTACCGCAATTTAATGGCAAGTGTATTATAACGTAATAACGCGTTAATCACATAAGTGATCGTAAATTATATTTAATATCTTTATTCCTCTAACAAGGTTTTTAGATATACATAGTAATTATTTGTTTTGAGCGAAGTATAAATATAACTAAATAAGACTAAAGACACAGCAGTTAGGACCCAGCATTGTATCTTTGACTAAATTTGCAATTCAAAGAGAGTTCGTTACCTAAATATTTATATAAAATATTTTGAGAACTACCAAAAAACTTAAATCTTCTTACTTTAGACTTCGTATATAAATTCTAAAGCTACGTAGCGTTGTAGTACTGATAAGCACTTATTAAATATTACTTAATGAGATTGCAGAATCTTGAACAATATTTACAAACTAGCAACATAACTCGTCTATCCTAATAAAATTCACAGTCGATAGAGAAGGCGGCATGTGAGCTGCGTCTTGGGCGTACTGTAACAAATGGTAATAAAATATCAGGCCATTGTTTGCGCGTGCTCCCGAATATCAAAATAAATTCAACGCTTTCTCGTCTCGATGATTTGAAGCATATTGCAAATATTATCTCATATATCGTTAACATATATATTTTATACTATAATATAATACTTATAGTACAATTGATTTCAAATTTAGATTTGTTTGAAAAATATCCGTTTTTTATCACTCCATAAATTGATATAAACAGAAAAATGACACTTATTGAAAAAATTATAAAAGAATCTTGCTAAGTAAATAAATGTAGAGTTGTTCATCACTCTATTTTCCTCATCGAGTAATATATTTTTGAAAAATAAATTGAAACGAAAAATATAATTTTTCAAAAACTACTTTATTCAATTAAGAAAATAATAGAAGTGCTTTGAATAAATTCTAGCAGAGGATAAAACAAAGAACCACAGTTTATCGAAAATATTTAACACTATAGTCGTAGCTAACTACATTTTGTAGGTGTATGCCAGCTATAGTGTCAGCTCTGTAGTCACGCCAACGATGTTACATGATTTCAAATTCCAGTCATTGAAATGCAGAGCGCAACGTTTTTAGATACGATTCCTGAAGCCTGAATTACCATCGCGCAGGATGTTCAATAATTTATTTGAATCCTAATAAATTGGAAAATACCTATTAATTTTGCAAGGGTTAGTGAATTTAAATCGCCTCTTAGCATCGAACTATTCAAATACTTGTTTTTGGGTAATAATTATAACAATAACTGCAATATTCATAGCACGTAGCCGTCGCGTAGCTGCAATCGAATAAATTGTGTCATCGTCACCAACATCGAGGTGATTTCTATTGAAATCTGTAAGGTTCGTTTTAATGACTCTTTATTCAGTGAATTCCGATAAAAATTTTACATGCATCGTATAATATACCTTATATCGTTAGTCTGAATATCGCCACAGTATCTTACATCTCCCTATTTCACAAAATATTTGCGTCATTTTATAAAAGAGGGTCTGTGATGACTGATGTTCATTTTTCTTTTATATTTATGCCTGAAAATATGTTTCTTTCTTAAGTGCTGTCATTCAAAATTACGAAGAGACAGACAGGCGGCGTGCAGGCGGGGAAGTACGCCAGAGGGGAAGGCGAGTGGTCGCGACACTCATCTCCATTCCCGACTCCTCAAGATTTATGTTAAGCCGAGGTGTCCCACAAAAAGTGGGTCGCGTGCCGGAGGCGTTGATTCGTGTCTTTTTAAAATTGGAAATGGGGCTGCACGCTGCCTGCGCCGGCGGTGGCGGTGCAGCGGGAACTAGGTCACTTGGGGACTTACGACATCGATGAGCTGACTCAGCTTAAGCTTGATGCAGACGCGCAGCACGTCGGTGGTGTTGACCACTGGCCGCACCAGCTTGTTGTAGTTGGAGAGCAGGTCGTCGTAGAGGCGCTTGGCGTCCGGGTTGCCGGCGGCGACGGCGCGCGCCAGGCACCAGCCCGTCAGCCACCACGCGAGCGTACCCATCAGCTCGCACCTCGCAGCGGCGCGGCCATCGTTACGTAAGGCGCACGGGAGACGCGCGACCGGGCGCGGCGCGGCACTGACTGCTGCCTGCCGCCCCGCGCCGCCCGCACGCCGCCCCCGCCCGCCCCTCACGCGACCCTCTCGCGCCCTCGCGCCCTCGCGCCCTCGCACCACGTCAAAGATTCGCCGCCCGTCGCGAGACTCTTTTGCATTTTGTCCGTGTTCCCTCTAATTAACACTAAGCGTTTTACTTCGGTCGCTGCACGTCGCTGTTATTATTTTTTTCAGATATTGGCTTATGCCGTGAATGTTAAAAGCTTCGAAAATGCTAATGTTTTAATAACAATAATTGCATTATCCAATTATGATAACTTACAAGAGTTTTTGAATTAGTTTTTAATAAATAAATGCTTATCAACGAGCTTTTTATTAAAAAAATAATTAATTAAACATACGTAGACTTAAATATCATCTGTAAATTATGTGATAGATGATGCATTGATATAGAGCTACTTCACACTCGTACTAAAACTATCAAATGATAGAATGTAAAACAAAGGGTATATTCGAGGAGAAGGCATAACATACGCTTGCAATTTATATGGCTGATTTGTGCCCGCATCCCTTACTAACCATTCTATAAATATGCTAGTCGATAGCGCATCGTATTTTCAGACCGCTGTTTGTGAAGGCTTGCAGAGAAACTTTTGCTTGAAGATGCTTTGAAAGCGGCATGTCCATCTCACTTTACAATTTAAAATTTACTCTTTATATAATAGAATTGCAACGGCGCGTTTAAATGTTCGAAAATATGCAAATAAATTTTAAAACTGTTAAAGAGCTTTCACGTCCGCGCCGAATGCTCTTTTTATTTGCGAAATATTATTTCTTTTTACATCGCTGAAGTGCGATGAATTATTTCGTTAATCGCCAATTATTTTATTGCATCAAAATAAATATTATGTATTAATTCATACTTGAATACTACATGGAGCGGAAATAAATTCGTAGTAAATCCTCGGCCTCGTCCAATTTTCACGGTGAGAGGAAAAGCAATAAATGTAATTTCGAGCTTTAAGCTCACGCTAGAGTGTTTGTTTGTTTATATTCCAAAATTGTATTTATTTTTACCAATGAAATATTGTGGTCGACGAAATTACATTGTGATGACGTCATGGAATTGTATTAAAACCACTGCAATAATGAGGACAGCAGAATACAGAGAAATATGTACCAAACCTTGAAAATAACTTGTCTTGTTTGTTTATATCTACGTTTGCATTTATATAGTAAGTATTGTAATATGAAATTAATATATGTACGATATGTTTGTATGATTGTACAAACTTAAAACGTACACAAAACATTTAGTTACAAAACACGTACGCGGCAACCGTTATCGCTGAAATGCGCCCTGTCTCTTAAATCCGCTATTTGTTCCTCTTCTCGCGTATAAACCCGCATTGATGTGGATATTCCTGATAATCTTCTCATATATATTGTGTTCTATTTTATGACATATGGATTTGGTCTTATTCTATATCAAATACATATGGTCCCAATAACTTAATGAAATTAAAAGCGACACAAAAGACGAAATTTTTGGTTTATTTTGTAGTCATCTTTAGTTTTGATGACAATCACAGTATTATATGAAAATAAAACTTAGAATATATCTAAAAAAATATAAGTTAAAGACGGCTGTAAATATTTAATTTAAAACTAACTAAGGGACCAGAGAGTACACTTAAACCTCTTGTATAATAAATTAAAAAAAAGTTTTTTTGATAATATGATATTGGAAACTATCTATAATTCCACTAAAGCAACATGGATTGAGTATTTCGGTTAAGCAACTTCGGGAAGTAATTAAGTACTAAGTACCACATCATCATCATCAGCTCACTATACGTCCCCACCGACAGGCTCGGAGCCTACCCTAAGTTAAGGGTGATTAGGCCATAATCAACCACGCTGGCTAAGTGCGGGTTGGTTGACTTCACACATATCTTTGAATTTCTTCTCAGATATGTGCAGGTTGCATCACGATGTTTTCCTTCACCGTAAGAACGTCGGATAAATGTACATATGTAAATCGGAAACCGAAAAACACATTGGTACATGGCGGGACTCGAACCCAGGACCTGCAGATTGCAAGTCAAGTGCTTGACCACTGAGCCACCGACGCTCAAGTACCACATCACTACTAAAAAGTAAAAGTTTTACAAATTAAAAAAATCACAATATATTTTTAGTATTTCATTTTCGTAAAGGAGGTGTGAAATTATGTAGCCATTAGTTATCATTAGTGCTAACTCAAATATACAACAAGTGGAACAAAAAACATTACTCTGAATGAATATTTAATTCGATTCAAACGGTTTGTCAGTTCCGGTTCATTTTCTCACTTTATACGATTTTTTGCAGTTGATGCAAACTGAAGGGGTCTACTTACGGGCACTTTGAGATAATGATGTCTTAAGATTTTTCACTGCGTCAAAAGACGGCATTTAGTGAGGCGTTTTAGCAAGTCCATTACCCTTAAGTGTTGGACTGATAGATACGTTTGGAGTTTATTTATTTTCTTGTAAAGTATAAAATAAAACATACTCGTTAAAGTTTATAATTACAAACTACTAACTGTCGCCCGCGACTACATCGGCGCGGAATTCAAAAGAATAACAAGTAGCCTATGCGTTCTTCTACTATGCCTAATGAAATGCCATGCCATGAAAGTGTTCTACAACTATGCCTGATTTCAACGAGTTCCGTTAGGCCTTTCCGGAACATTCATTCATCCATACATCTAAACATTCGCATTTAAAATATTACTAAGAAGTAAGATTTAAGCACTCATGACGAGGATTTTTCTAGTTTCTTGAATAGTAAAATAAGTTATTCTAAATTGCATATAAAATTTGCGAATGTGAAAACAAAGTCACGGGAAAAAGTTTGTTAAATAAAATAAAGTAAATGCCTTCACTGTATGAATATTAATGACTTGGATGGACGAAAAGGCGATCGTTGAGCAATTTGAAATGTTAATTTTACGTACAAAAGTTTAAAGTGTTTATGAATGAACTTTGCGATACGGTATCGATTTTCAAATTATTCCTGTGCCACTTCATTTATAACAAAGTAAAAATATATATATTGTTTACTAACTTAAACAGAAAACTTTGTTACGCGATCTAAAAGGAACATCAAGTATTCCGCGTAGCAGTTTACAGAACAAGCAGACATAAATCTGATTTATCATAAATAATATTTATAGCGCTTTGAAAGCGTTAAAAGATTAGAGTTCAAAACAACATTACATCATTTAGAAATAAGTTCAATGAAGCAAAGATTTATTCGAATTATTTTAAATGTAGGAATATTTTATTTAACTGTACTTCTTTAACTTCAAAATATATTACGTAGCAAATGTGAATAATGAAAATGTATAATAGGTTTCAGTCACTTTTTCAATTCGTTCATTATCGCTACGCAAGTCAGTTGATGATCGTGTTATTTTATTTTTTAATTGCAAAAATTTTAATTGGAAAAAAACTGGCAGCACAAAGCATCCTCAATAAATCTGAAGATTCTTTCCAAACTTTTTAACTTCGTTCATCGTAATTCACTTCACTCGGACATTCTCCTCTATTATGATTTCAAAATTCTGAACACTTCCAATATAGCACTTTAGTTTATACTCGTCATATACATCTCCATTCAAATTTTCTATAAAAGTAATGAAACCATAATTTCCTATTAGATACCTAAGACTGGCAAGATAAATTGTTGCTTGTTTATTTGTGAGGCTTGAAAGAAAAAGAAGAAAGTTTATTTAGAAACAACACTACCATGGAAACAATTTAAAAACAAATAACAAAACTTATTACAATATAGGAAATGTTAAACCGCTTTGAATCGTTTCTTATTTCACTGAAATTATTATTTCGCAACGATAACGGCTTAAAATTGAATACCTTTTGCGAATGTCTGCCAAATTTTTACAAATTTGATTTTTTCGCGTCCCTTGCTAAGCATTCGGTTCCCATTACGTTCAGAGACTTATAAATTCATCTTTTCCGGTCGCTGTGGGCAAAATTTCATTGTTGCCGTATTACATTTTATAATTCAATAGGCTTTAAATTAACTTACATATTTACGTAGTGAATAATTACGAAAAAGAACAACTAGAAAAAATTATTTTCTTTTCTTTATAACTTTTATGAACTGTATATTATTTTAGAATAATGCTTCATATATTTAAGAAATCATTTAAGAATTAAATTAAAAACGATTTTGGTTTTATACGAATGTTCACTTTTGATTAAAGACGTAGGACAGAAAATGTTTAAAAAGTCTCGTTTTCCTTCGACGTTAAGATAAGATATCAAAAGATTTATAGAAAGCATTGCGAAGGGTCGCGTGTTCGCGGCGGCGGGAGGTACGCCTCCGACTGCCATTACTACATAAAACATCGCCGCTGTGCGTGTCGACGATTGTGTGGTTAAGAGTGCTTTGCTCTTTTTTAAATTATTTATTTTACTATCTGAAGCTGCTTTTGATATTTAACGAACAACTTAATTTATTTTTACTGTTCGCGCCTGATATTTCTGAATACTTAAAAGTTGAATGGAATTATGTTAAACTTTTTGCTTTTAGGTTTATAAAGGCTGAATTGTCTTAAGGCATTCCGCAAGAAATAACCTTTTGTACAAAACAAAATACCGAAATTGTTATTAAGAATCCAATACTTTAATACAAAGCAAAGGTGAAATTATAAATGTGCGTAAAAACCCTATGTACGACACAAAACTACTGTATTTACAAATAAAATTGGCAACAAATTCACTTCGCAGAAGTACGAATTCGTTTTGGATATCAGTCAAACGACGCCGCTTCAAACGAAATCTATATTGAGAAAAGTTTTTCAATTTGCACATGTGAAGGATTCCAAAAATATAAATGAAGTTTAAAATTTACACATATACACATAGTATAGTTAG